ATGTTGCACTATATGCGTGCAATGTTTACATACTATTTGTGAGTTAGAATTACGTGCTGTTACATCATTTTAGAGTATTGTGAGATGTTTTGTGTTGTTACCTTGTACTGTACCTTGGTTAACTACTACTACTACTACTACTACTACTACTACTACTACTACTACTACTACTACCACTACTACTACTACCACGACGACGACGACGACTACTACTACTACTACTACTACTACTACTACTTCTACTACTACTACTACTACTACTACTACTACTACTACTGCTACTACTACTACTACTACTACTACTACTACTACTACTACTACTACTACTACTACTACTACTTGTTATATATATATGTATGTTATATAGAGCATGTTATAGTAAATGACATTGCATTTGCTACTTCACGTTATGTTATGTATAGAAGACAGTCGTATATACCATTGCTTATTACATCGTCTTGCGTCACATGCATATACCCCTATACACATATCTTGTATATCAGAATGAATTATACGATCCTACATTATATCAGAGGCTGCGACTTCAGACTGCTTTATATGGTACTCGGCTATACCATGCTTTGTATTGTCATATGTCGCCATGGGCTGTTATGTTGTACTTGACCATGCTATGTTGTGATATGTTTTGTCATGGTGTATAATGCTACATAGTTCATGCCATATGGCATAAAACCGTGTATAATCACACCTCATGCAGTTTTTGTTACACCATGATGTTTATTGGTATCATGTTATTGTTTTACTACATTGCAGTATGTTAGAAACCACATTTTATTTTCTGTTGGAATTTGCTGTAGCATGTGATACCACATGGTGTCACATCTTATCATGACATGTCATCTCGTGTCATCTGGTCTCATGCCAGATGTTGCAGTACTACAAAAGAATTCCTCGCGCCCTGAGATTTCAGAGACCCGGCATAAGGTAGCTACAGTGGCATTTGCTGACGAACCCGATGTAGGTACATCCCCCGAGACTTCTCAAGTTCTTCACGGAGTGAGAGCAAGTGTGCTCTCATCATTGCCGAGGTTTTGTGTTGCACACCAAATTCAGGGAAGGTGTGGGCTCCAATCTAAAGGATGCTCGAGCGTTGATGAAGCCTACTTTGGGTTTCGGCTTCGTAGTACCTGGGGCCTGGATCAAGGAAACACACGGAAGCTTGCGCTTCAAAAGCCGTGCAGGGAACCCTATATCTATTGTGGACACCATCCAATACGATGGGATCAAAGCCGACTCCCAGCGTCAAGGGTACACGGTCTACTAGAAACTGCCGATCGAACTTGGTGTTTTCGAGGGTTGACAATTCGATCGACTGATTTAATCGTTAGCGGTCAACTTTATATTTTTCGATGGTTAGGATAGGTTTAGTTCAGGCACGTCCCACGTCTGATGCAGTTGTTCGACTCATTCAATATTAAGCTCAGCAAGCCTGAATGCCAGTCGAACAGACAAAAAAGACAACGCGGATGACATGTTCCAACTACCCAACAAGCTACGGTACAGGCTGGGTAGAGGGCGGGAGTCCCAGGCACGTGGTCTTTGAGGGTAAGTGTGCCAGGAGATCCGGATCTGGCACCTGAGTCAATGCGAGTTGATGTTTTGCACGTCCTTTGTAGCTAACACTGCAGCCTTATTTCCCTCATAATTGCAGTGCACAGGTTGTAAGAATGCCGACTGCTGGGACCTATCCTTACAGCCAACCTTAATCAAATGAACTCCACATGGCGAAGCTTCAGGCAGCATAAGTCTGACTGATCAGGAGATGATGACGACAAAGATGACGATGGCGAAGTTGAACTTTAGAATAGCATACCGGTGATCCATTCCTACTACCACTACTGCTACACCAACAACAACTATTACTACTACTACTACTACTACTACTACTACTACTACTACTACTACTACTACTACTGCTACTACTACTTGTAATATATATATATATATATATATGTTATATAGAGCATGTTATAGTATATGACATTGCATTTGCTACTGCAGGTCATGTTATGTATAGAAGACAGTCGTATATACCATTGCTTATTACATCGTCTTGCGTCACATGCATATACCCCTATACACATATCTTGTATATCAGAATGAATTATACGATCCTACATTATATCATATCAGAGGCTGTGACTTCAGACTGCTTTATATGGAACTCGGCTATACCATGCTTTGTAGTGTCATATGTCGCCATGGGCTGTTATGTTGTACTTGACCATGCTATGTTGTGATATGTTTTGTCATGGTGTATAATGCTACATAGTTCATGCCATATGGCATAAAACCGTGTATAATCACACCTCATGCAGTTTTTGTTGCACCATGATGTTTATTGGTATCATGTTATTGTTTTACTACATTGCAGTATGTTAGAAACCACATTTCATTTTCTGTTGGAATTTGCTGTAGCATGTGATACCACATGGTGTCACATCTTATCATGACATGTCATCTCGTGTCATCTGGTCTCATGCCAGATGTTGCTAGTACTACAAAAGAATTCCTCGCGCCCTGAGATTTCAGAGACCCGGCATAAGGTAGCTACAGTGGCATTTGCTGACGAACCCGATGTAGGTACATCCCCCGAGACTTCTCAAGTTCTTCACGGAGTGAGAGCAAGTGCGCTCTCATCATTGCCGAGGTTTTGTGTTGCACACCAAATTCAGGGAAGGTGTGGGCTCCAATCTAAAGGATGCTCGAGCGTTGATGAAGCCTACTTTGGGTTTCGGCTTCGTAGTACCTGGGGCCTGGATCAAGGAAACACACGGAAGCTTGCGCTTCAAAAGCCGTGCAGGGAACCCTATATCTATTGTGGACACCATCCAAGACGATGGGATCAAAGCCGACTCCCAGCGTCAAGGGTACACGGTCTACTAGAAACTGCCGATCGAACTCGGTGTTTTCGAGGGTTGACAATTCGATCGACTGATTTAATCGTTAGCGGTCAACTTTATATTTTTCGATGGTTAGGATAGGTTTAGTTCAGGCACGTCCCACGTCTGATGCAGTTGTTCGACTCATTCAATATTAAGCTCAGCAAGCCTGAATGCCAGTCGAACAGACAAAAAAGACAACGCGGATGACATGTTCCAACTACCCAACAAGCTACGGTACAGGTTGGGTAGAGGGCGGGAGTCCCAGGCACGTGGTCTTTGAGGGTAAGTGTGCCAGGAGATCCGGATCTGGCACCTGAGTCAATGCGAGTTGATGTTTTGCACGTCCTTTGCAGCTAACACTGCAGCCTTATTTCCCTCATAATTGCAGTGCACAGGTTGTAAGAATGCCGACTGCTGGGACCTATCCTTACAGCCAACCTTAATCAAATGAACTCCACATGGCGAAGCTTCAGGCAGCATAAGTCTGACTGATCAGGAGATAATGACGACAAAGATGACGATGGCGAAGTTGAACTTTAGAATAGCATACCGGTGATCCATTCCTACTACCACTACTGCTACACCAACAACAACTATTACTACTACCACTACTACTACTACTACTACTACTACTACTACTACTACTACTACTACTACTACTACTACTACTACTACTACTACTACTACTACTAGTACTACTACTGCTACTGCTACTGCTACTGCTACTGCTACTGCTACTGCTACTGCTACTGCTACTGCTGCTACTACTACTACTACTACTACTGCTACTACCACTACTAGTGCTACGGCTACTGCCGCAGCAGGGCTACGAGCTCTTGATGCGGATGGAGCTACGGACACTGATCGCCGCCTGAGCAGTGACACGAATGGCCTTGCTTGTTCGGTGAAAGTTTCAAGTTCAGTTGTTTGCACAAGCCAAGGCTCGACAATGCTTGGCAATGTGTTTGGTCGAGCTTGTTTACCTTCTTGTCTGAAAGTATTTCTACCTGTCGATTGCAGCATCTACACCTTAAAGCCATTCTCGCTTGCCGGTGCGGAAGCTGGTGATTTCATAGCTCTGCACGGCTTACCTAGACTGCCCATGGCCGGAGATAGAACTGCGGTCAGTTGACGACAGCTGGAAACTTGCTGGCTTGCACCGGTGGGCAGACTAACGGTCCTTTTCTCGCCACAAAGGCCTGCAGACAGCATTGTAAGGGTCGCCTGAACCAGGTGTCCCACATTGAGCGCTGTTTGTGAATCAGCAAGCTGAAAGCAGGCACCAATCGGATCTCGCCGCAGATGACAGAAACCGATGCTAAGCACGGCAAGTCGTTTGCGTTCGGGGTATATTTATTTTCCGCAAACACCTGTCTGCGATACGCTGCAGGAAATCTTCTCGTAGCACTCTGCAAATTTTACAGCGTTCAATTGCCCCTGCGCGATGGGTTCGGATGTTTCGGGGGGATGCATGAGCACAGCTACTGAGCCTTGTTTGCACTTCGCAGCACTTGAGATCTGCATACCCAGCACAGGGGCGTGCACAAGAGTAGTTATGTGGCATTCTTTCCTCTCGGTGCTTGGAAGGCCAGCTAAGAGCTGATCATGAAGAAGCGGCTTTGATCTTCGGCTTTTGGCGCCAGAAAATCAAACACAACATTCGTGCGTCATCTGCGACGACTGTTACTGCTACTGCTTCTCTTACCAGTGGTGCACGCCAGCAAGTGAGAATTCATTTCGACTACGATGCTGTTTGCCAGCTGGTAGTCGGACCACCACACCGACGGCGCCGGCTTCGCCGACGACGATGAAGACGACTACCACCACCGCCACCAAGCTGCTGCTGCTGCTGCCACTGCAGTGATCGCTAGCGCTATTCTTCCACACTCGTAGTTTTGTCGCTCTGGTTGCTATCGCTTCCGTGTATTATTATGATTATTTTATTGGTCTTCGCAGGTCGCAGGTCATCGCAGGTCCAGCCAGCTGGGTTCCGAAGCCTTGACGGGCTAACTTTCCAACAAGTTGTGAATAAGCTGGATATGAAGCCACGCGTGAATACATGAATGGAGCCTCAAACCCGAGATCCTGCCTCAGGGATGGTCATGTGGTCTCCGCGGCCGGCATCTATAGTCGAGGCCTCGCTCCCAAATTACTACGTAGTATCGGCCCTGTCGTTTCTGAAGCTAGTAGGCTCCTAGAGTTCTTCGTGGAATTTCCGGCGCCTTTCTTATGCGCGGTCACTGTTGAATCTTCTCCCTGTAACTTTCACTCCCTTTGGAATATGGTCACAGATGCCTCTGATGTCTTGCAGCGTCGCTGCACTTTGCTAGCGGCTTATCCACTGCCTTTCGCCTATCTGCATGTTCGCATTCCTGTTCACGGCTGCGTTGCCCCTGAAGCCGCTTATGTGTTCTCAGAGCCACCCTTTGCCAAAAGCCGACACAAAGACCAGCCTTCGCTGTTGAAATGTTGCCGTTGCACAGGTGACCCATGTTCGTTATTTGGGTTCTGTAAAGTGCTGCTGCAGCTGTTAAGGCTAGAACTAGCACGCTGCGACGACTGCCAGCGCAACTAGAACTGCTAATCCTGCTGCTCCTTCACCTGAGTCCACCACCACCACCGCCGCCTTTACGGCAACATGCATTAAACCAAACGCCAGTCTCGTCGCCACGACTGATAGTCATGGCCTGCTGCCGGCACTGATACTAGTCCCGCCACTGCTACTAGTCTTGCTTCAGCTAGTCCTGCTCACCCATCTTGTATGGCTGCCGGCGTGGCAGGTCATGTGGTGCCGAGCGCAGGCTCGTCTCGCAGACGTATTATGTTGCCACGGTGTCAGTCATACATCGCCTCACAGTTGCAGTTGCATTACGGAGTTATGCTGCGCTGGGTTTGCGTTCGTTCGTGCTGGAGGGCCACTATGGGCCACTACAATATCAGATGATAGGTCTCCTGTGCCCAGATGCTGATGAACCCGTTGAGCCTTCCAGCTACCTCCTGTATGTGTGTTGGTGCACTCTAAGATGATGAAGGGTGGCGTGGTTGTTGTTATCCTGAGCTGTAGCAACTGACAGTTGCTATTGTGAGTGCTGCTTGATTGTTCGTTTGTGCGCTTGAGTGTTTGACTACTCATCAGGTGGTTATGTGGCGACGCAAGGCGTTTGTTATTAATTCGTCTGCATTTTGGTTGTGTGCCATTGTATGCTTGATGAAACTACTCGTGTGATCCCAGTATATCCTGTGCTCACTTCTTCAGGCGTAGACCCTTTGAGGGCTTATGCCCACTGCCGATCCTGTGTTTCGAGAATGTCAGAGAACCGCGCACTGCCTTTGCTATGAGTGGCCGGGGTTCGAGGAACTTTGATTTTTACTTATCGTATACGGTGCCGTGCAGTTGTGCCTAGATTGTGTGCGATGGTTGAATCAGTTTGCATAAGCTTGTGTGCTGCCGGCTCGCATGGCGAGTGGCGCTCGGGGTTGATACGCAGCTCGTTGATCCAGTATCTGCTCGCAACTATACATGCGCCCGTGCCCATCTGTCGCTGGTACTTGTTTGTACTCGCACGTATTCTTGTGCTTCTAAGTTGCCAATGTTGCCTGGAGGGCGTGCGAACACATCATCAACCATCGACTGCTATCTCGGTGCACTCTATGTTCCAAACCCGGAGCCACTCAGCGCAGAGAGAGCTCAAAGCCCGGAGGCCTCGTCCTAGACCTTGAAACTTCGAAGTAGTGTAGGCCGTAGGGCCGTAGAGGCTTCAATAATTTCCTGCGCTATTTTGGGGGCTCCTTGTTATAAGCATAGTAGGTATAATATACCCCAAAACCCTATTCTAATTCTTAAGGACGCTATATCATAGAGCCCTTATAGTCGTATCCCATATAGATCCCCTTCTAAGGAACCCTTTAAAGGAACCCCTATTCTGATTTGTAAGGCCCTAGAGTAGAGCCCCGGACTCGGACCCCTCCAGGATGGTATGGATTCGGTGCCTTTGAGGCGTCGCCACTGCCTTTGAGTTCAATTCTGACCCGTTTGAAAGAACATGGCAGGCAAATAAGTACATATACATATTTATGTATACATGTGTTTTTCGTTCGTTATTTATACACACATATGTACATATACGTACATATGTATACACACACACACATATACATATATATATATATATATATATATGTATATACGCCTAGAACGCGAAAGACCTGAACCCAGATTCGGAGCATGGGGATTGGCATCAAGCCGAAAGAGCCAGTGGACTCAATGGATTTGCCCTGCAGTGCTGTCACATAAGCTACATAGGTGGGCTGCAAGGATCCCGAGCATAGTATTAGTTAATGATGAGTTTGGCCATGGTTGTGGAGTTCAGCCGATTCGGCTTCATACTTGAACGTGCAGTGAATCTGTATGAGCTGGGTTAGGGTTGTACGCTTTACAAGATTTCTGGCGTAACGTCGCAGACTGTCACAGTGCTATTGGCACTGAAACTGCTGCCAGTAGTCCTGGCAGCATCAGTGTTGTCAGTAGTTATGGGCTACTTCTCGCCCCTGGTGTACTAGAACTGCTCTGCCTCAGTATACTATCACTCTTAAGGATCCGGCTGCTCAAGCCCACCTGAGCCCGAGTCCTTAGGGTGGGTGGCATTTGGAGTCTAGTTTGGGTTCGAAATTCAGAGTGCAGAGGTCTCATAAGGCTTAGGAATGGAGCTTTAGGCCTGAACTGCGAGGCGATCTTGGACCGAAACCCTCATTCATTCTCAAAAACTACACGAGACCTCCCACGCACTGCAGCTCTGAAGCATTCTTTCCTTACAGCCCCCAGCTCCCGAATCCGAGTCTTGAACCATGGAACCATGGCTCCTCACCCATTGAAGGTCCGCGTGCATCCCGGTATCGCAGAGTACTTGGCTTTCGACTGGCTCGGACCTCAACTCGAAGCAGAGAAGCTCCGATGTGTGTGCACGCATCTTCTCAAGGCCCCCAGTGACTACTATAGTGGCCTACGTTTTAAACGTTTTTACCGATATGTTGGGGGTTCCTAGTTATGACTATTGTATAATATGCCCCAAAACCCTAATGACTCTAATTATGAAGGCCCCTATATCATAGAGCCCTCATAGTCGTATCCCATATAGATCCCCTTTTAAGGAGCCCTTTTACAGCAATCCTTGTTCTAGTTGTTATTAAGGCCCCTTGTCTAATGCTAAAAATGAGGCCGAAAGGGCCTCAGGGCGCCTTTGTGGCCGACCTGGCACCAAGGCTCCAACACTACACCGGGGGTTTAGGGGTTTAGGGTTTACGATTGCACAAGTCCTGATGCCAACAAAAGGGTTTAGGAGTTTAGGGCTCAGGGTGTAAACGTCAGGCCCCGGCCCGTGGCTCAAAAGGGTTTAGGCTTTGACTTCGAAGGGGTCCGAAGGCTAGAGGCAGAGTTTAAAACATCGGAGTTTGAGGGCCCAGCTGGAAGTTCTGATCCTGAGAGGGTGCTCAGCGGGTAAAAGCGCAAAGGGCGCTCACTGAGGCATGAACGACGACCGGCGCGCCGGGAGCCGTGGGCAAGGCAGCCTCAGACTCTCATGTAATGTATCACTCCTACGAAACGATGCGCAGACCTAAACCTTAAACCATTATAGACGTATGCAGCTTCACTACTGCCAGGAGTTCCCGTGCTGTGCTGGGATTCTGTCACGAGTGCATTGCCCTCTACGCAACGGCCAGCAGTTTTGTTACTTTAGCTATACTAGCATACCCTAGCCGATGCTTGAATCGTACAGTCCCAAGGCCGTATACTACCCTATACCTGAAATTGAAGATTCGGATTCGGAAAGGGACATTGCCGCGAAGATCTTGGGAGGTCTGCTGGGCTCTTGAGAGGGCATGAGTGATTCATTGGGTTCCTGCAGCTAGCTCCGTCGGCTGCACGTGTTGAACTCTTCTTGTTATCGTTAGCTTGCTGGCCTGCCACGGTACAGTATCCACAAAGCTGAGGGAATCCGCAGTAGATCCCCTCTTGCCCTGAAACTCAGCTCGGGGACCAGATGGGTATGAGATGGCATGCGCATGGTAGCGCTTACTGAACCCGCATTCCAGCCCCGCTACAGCTCACATCTGCATGCCGGGATCCCTCAACTCTAACTTCGATGTGAAGAGGCTGTTGCAGATGCTTGTGGAGATCAACCTCCGTCGTCTGGAGCACAGCCGGAGCAGTGTGGTTATGATGGGCTTCGCTTTGGTTGTATGGGAGCTGGTGAAACTGTCCCCCCGGAAGGCGTGGGGATTCTGGCTGCGAGCTATGTCAGCTTTGTGTTTCGATCTAGGGTTTGGGCATAAGCAGCCAGGTACGAGCGCGACATGGGCAGGTCAGAAGAAAAGAGAGTTTCGAACAGACATGTGCATGCGAGCATGCATTTACATACATGTTGTTCTTCCAAGTTGTTATCTGTTCATATATGCGTCGAAGCATGTGCATTCAGCGAATCGTGGGAGATACTTATATGATGGCAGGCGGAAGGACAGGATTGTTGCATACGCCAGGGAAAGACGACAGTAAACCGAACTTAAACAGTAAGGCATGGAATGCGTAGGCACTTTCTCGCATTTTACCATGGAGCTTCATATAGCTTCATACACCACATTCTTTCCAAGTTTTCTGTTTGTGGCAGAAGTGGAAGCCCTCGTTTTGAATTTTGTTGCGAGTACCATCGTTAATACTATTACTACTAACGTCATCCTGATCAATACCGTGATGTTGCCCGTTTTTTTCGCTTCAAGCTTCGGGTGGGCAGTCAGCACACAGTGCGGAAACTGTTAAACGCAGGTTCCAAGTTCGAGGTTGGATCTGTGAGGACTAGACACCAATGCAATATAGCCGCAGTACTTTCATGCCACAGTACTTTCAATCGGAAGGTTCAATCGGTGGTGATATTCACGATCGCTGCTTGTACCGGACTTAAAGACACAACCATCAACCCTAAGCCCTGACGCTTGAGTTTGCGTCCTCTGTGGCCTCACCTTGTGTCATGTGTTGTTCTTGCTGACTCGAGCCTCAGCCCATCTTTCGGTAGTCCGACCTCACCTTTGAGAAACCGCATGAAGAACGGAAGCCAAGGCTGGGCGCCACCACCTGCCTCGCTTTCTGCAAGGCGCCTGGAGGAAGGCCGGGGCAGAAAAGAACGGGAGAAGCCTACTCCAGGGACCTGAATGATAATTAGCACAATTAGGGTTTTGGGGTTCCTTAGTATACTTATAGTGTATAGTGTAGTATACCCCAAAACCTTATTATACTTATTCAGGCCCCGACTTTCAGCCTTTGGGAAGGCTTAGTCACTTCGTGCATGGAGGACACAACGGGGTCGTAGTTCAGGGCTTCAAAGGAGAAGATGCGGGGTGGCATCTGGGCGAATGGAGTATAGGTTTCAGGGAGGCGAGCGTGCAGGAGTGACCGCCATCCGGGTGTGAACGGCATGCATATCGTTCGTTTCGGGTGCTTTCGCGGGCTCAGCTCGTCGACGCCGAAGGCGGGCAAACTTTAATTCAATCTTAATGGCTATCTTGTTTTTGCCTGCATATCTTCAAACCTGTACCCCATACCTTTGTTTGCGACACAGTCAGCTAGTCGGGTGCAACATACTTGCAAGGGTGCTCGGTGGTGCTTTAGGTTGGTAATTAATATGCAATATGGCATGGACAAGCCCGGCCACAAGAGGTGTTTCCTACTAGGCATTGTGCGCAAGGCAGCTGGGAACCACCACCGCCCACGAGGCCTCCGCAGACATGTTTGCATGCTGGTTGGCTGTTTAACTGGTTGATCTGGGCATGAGCCGGTCATGATAGGATTCCCGACATGATTTTTTGTCATGTCCCCACCTATACTGGAGTTGGTATTTAGGTCTCTAGATTGTGGGCTATGGGGTGGAGCACGTGCGGTGGAGCACTTGCAGGTTTTAATCTTTTGGCATTCAGGACATCCTGTTTTCACACAGTTAGTTTGCCAGCCAGAGGTGCTCTCGGTTTCGGATAACCCGAGCGCAGCAACATTAGCAGATGTTCACAATGCCTTTTAGACTGCGAATATCCGCAGCCTGTGATAACAACTAACATGAGCAAGTTGCTGGGACTGCCATGAACGTTTTGTGAAAAACAACAGTCAACCTGAGTCCTGACTCGATTAATCTTGATCTTCTTCAGGAGCTCTTGGCGAACGTTGAAGCAGTGCCCACCTGCCCAGCTGCCGCCCAAAGATGCCGAGGCACTGCCTCAGGGTTACGGAGCCCTGTAACGTAGAGGGGTGTAAAGCCAATGCGGAGTCAGTGTGGTGCGGCTTAACTTTACCGAGGTATGAGGCACGAGACCACATGTCTCATACCCTACAGCAAGTCCTCAGCCCTGTTTCCAAGGCAACCTTATCCGCACCTGACCTATGCCCCCAACATCTTCATCCCCTCGGCACCCCCGCAGCCCCCAAAACCCAAACTCCACGGTCCAAGTCCTCATACAAACGAAAAATGCACCGGCCGCCTGCAGGATTTGACATGCACCTTCAGCCTTCTCTGCCCAGAGGAAGGCCGGACCCAAGCAGTCCGGCGACGCATAACTTGTGGCGTCAGCCTTACTATTTAGAAGAGGGATGCTCGTATAGTGCCAGTAGTCGTTGCCCTATCGTCGTTGCTGTCGCAGTGGTGGTAGTAGTATGTAGTAGTAGTAGTAGTAGTAGTAGTAGTAGTAGTAGTAGTAGTAGTAGTAGTAGTAGTAGTAGTAGTAGTAGTAGTAGTAGTAGGAGTAGGAGTAGGAGTAGGAGTAGGAGTAGGAGTAGGAGTAGGAGTAGGAGTAGGAGTAGGAGTAGGAGTAGGAGTAGGAGTAGGAGTAGTAGTAGTAGTAGTAGTAGTGGTAGTAGCAGCAGCAGCAGTAGTAGCACCAGTACTAGCAGCAGCAGTAGCAGCAGCAGTAGCGGTAGCGGCAGCGGTAGCGGTATGGGTAGCGGTAGCGGCAGCAGTAGCAGCAGCAGTAGTAGCAGTAGCAGTAGCAGTAGCAGTAGCAGTAGCAGCAGCAGCAGTAGCAGTAGCAGTAGCAGTAGCAGTAGCAGTAGCAGTAGCAGTAGCAGTAGCAGTAGCAGTAGCAGTAGCAGTAGTCGTCGTCGTAGTGGTATTTGTACTACTACTAGTAAGTCTTGTTGGTTGTACCGCACTTGTTGCTGTTTGTGGTGGTTGTTGTTGGTGGTGGTGGTGGTGGTGCTGATGATGATGTTATTGACGATGTTGTCGTTGTTTTTGTTGTTGTTGTTGTTGCTGCTGCCAACAACAACAATTACTGCCCCACACCACCACCACCACCACCACCACCACCACCACCACTTGTACTCCTACTACTCGCAATGCGAGAGGGCACCACCACCACCACCACCACTACTACCCTACCGCTGCTACCGCTACTACTACTACTACTACTACTACTACTACTACTACTACTACTACTACTACTACGACTACGACTACGACTACGACTACGACTACGACTACGACTACGACTACGACTACTACGACTACGACTACTACGACTATGACTACTACTACTACTACTACGACGACGACGACTACTACTGCTCCTGCTGCTACTACTACTGGTACTGCTAGTGCTACTGCTACTGCCACTGCCACTGCTACTGCTACTGCTATTGCTACTGCTGCTACTACTGCCGCTACTGAGCCGGCTACCGGTACCAGTACCATTCCCACTACTACTACTGCGACTACCACCACGACAACGACTAGGACGATGACGAACTACTGCTACCTCCACCTACTGCTCCTTACTTTTGTGTTCGTGTATCTGCCACCTCCTCAGGAACCATGCCCGACGCATGTCAGTCCTCAATGCACGAGCTCACGGAGATCGTGCAGCAGCAGGTGCGGTTCCCTCTTACGTTTCAGAGCGAGGGTCGACGATACCACCACCACCACCACCACCACCACCACCACCACCGCCACTACCAAGGAGACACAAAGGAAACAGTAGACAGACATGCCGACAAGCAGCATCGCGAGACAGAATTATTTCGGCATCCCGTCAGTCAGCTTGATATTGCCAAGCTTAGCCGAGCGGTCTCACATCGCTTTGGGCCATGCTGGGTCATACCTGCTTGGTTGGACTGGTGTGCGACGGTTTACTTGGGTGCAAATCTTGCAACTATTACCGTGAGGGATAAAAGGTATGTTAACTCCGTCATGAAATGCGGTGCAAGAGTTTCTCTGTGATTTTGTGAGCTTGGGATTATGGAGGCATGATGCATTGCCCAGGGGTTGTTTTGGCCCTAGATGATCAAGTGTCGAAACGTGTTTGTAGGCCAAACCCTGGTCATAGAAAAGCAATGCTGCATCTCTGGATTGCAGATTTCTGCAGCGAGTCCTTGCTTCCTTGTGCGCAGACCTCCCCGCTCCTCACGCGCATGCGCTTCCACTGCCTCCGCCTGGGTCTGAGCTTCCCGCCTTGTGGTTTCAGCTTAAATCCTCGGTGCTGTGTACAAGCTGTCAACAGCATTGGATTTGATTCGGATTTGATGATGCTTGAGACCATGTATACAGGGGTGGCTACTCTCCCTTGCTCCAGCATGAACGGCTGGTAGGTGGTGTAATGCCCGCGTTAACCTACAGTATCAGGGCAAGCAACCAAATCCGAAGCTTCAGCGCAGATTATTCCCCGGTAACGTCTCTTTGAGATATGTTCAGATTCGCATATGTTAGCACGCCGGAGATACGTGCCACCAAATGGAGTCAAAATCCTATACCCTAAAACCGTAACCCATAAACCCTAATTGACTTGTCTGTGCCCCCCTGCGGTTTGTGAAAGTCCTGCAGCTTGTGGATTAAATGCTGCTTCCGCAGTCTTGCTTGGCCCGGGAGTAGTGCGGCAGAGAGACAGAGAGAGCTTTGGGGGAGCGAGGGGCCGGGGGGGCGCCGAAAGGTTGAAAAGAGCATTCATAATGCAATTCGGTGGTAGACTCCGCGCGCCCAGATATGACGTTGCAGCACTACTCGCCTGCTGCGCGGATCCCTGGAGATTCGCTCCCAAGGAGATGATGACATTACCCATAGGCCCTATAGTAGTTCCTAAGTTGGGGTTCATATTCAGAATCCAATAGTCCTATATAAGGTATTCCACAAAAGGATCTACCATGGAGCCTGTGGGTAGAAACGACGGCGTTGGGTCACAAGCAATGATGAGTAGTTTTGAGTAGTTCTATGTTCGTGGAATCATTTTCACAGGAAAACTGCTGAAAGTAAAGTACCTGGGAGTAGCTGTGATGCTGGCGATAGTCCCGAGGATGTTAGCGGGCTACAGCTTGAACCGTGTCGAAGAAGATATCAAGCAGATGGCCGAGCGCAGCCGTAAGGCCGCAATTCGGAGAGTTAGGGCATTCATCTAGGCGCGGCCGAGAGACTGAGATTCAGCCTGATTCACTAAAGCTTCAAAGCCGGGACCTTGCGCATGTCATGTTCGACGCCTCTCAGTGTCAACTATCAGCAACTCGTGCAGCCGAGCCCCTAAACCCTGAGCTCTAGACCCCTAAACCCTAAGCGGTAGTAAAGGTAGCACACTGAGACCATGAAGCCGTGCCTGCGAGTGTGAGTGTGCGAGTCGAAACCCCAAACCCTGTCCGAGTTCATGGTGAAGCTTCCGGAACGCTGCCCGCACTGGGCTGCAATCGAGGAGGCCACCGAGGACCCAACCGTCTCATTTTTTGAGACCTGCATGTCGCGACGTTGCCCTTTAGGATTTCCTGCTGAAGATGCGCGAAGGCTCATGAGTGTATGTATCGTACCGTCATGTCCAAGTTCCGACTGGTGGGTTCTTGTGCAAAAATTGAGTGGATGTTCTGCGCACGAAGGAGGTAATGGAGCTGTAGTTCTGGTGTATCAAAAGCTATACTTACTGCTAAAGCTAGTGCCTTCTATTTGCTGCTTCTCCTCGTCCAACTCTTTTTACAAGTACGTAGTCGTAGCGATAGTTGTTGTCGTCGCCGGAGTCGTAATCGCAGTGGCAGCTGCTGTGGTGATGGCAGTGGTTCTATGACGACGACTACTGCTCTAGTACCAATACCAGTACTGCAGCTATGCCGACGTCTCAGATCGGGAGAACTAAAACAAAAGTCCGTTCGGCCTACGTAGGTTTTTTTGCAAAACATGAGTTGTCACTTTCTCTCTATCCCGACTCTACACACCGCCCTTTCGGCTCGTGAGCTCCCAACGGCCGCGACACCCAAAAAGAGCCGCGAAGCGGTCCGAGCGGCATGTCTTGAAGGGTCGTCGGGACGCAAGCGTCATCCGGCTGTATCGTGCTGGTTCCTCAGGTTGCATGACCCAGCATCATCAGCCGCACAAGAGCTTGAGAAGCTCATGCAGCTTCGTGAGCAGGTCGAGTAGCGACTAGGCTGTGAGTTTGGGTGCAGAGCCTGCATAGCTCTTGAAGGCCGTCGGAGGTTTTACCAGTCACTATCATGCTGGCAGCCAGGTCTTACCTGGCGCGATGTCCTTGCTTATTGAGCCTCTGAACAAGGCGCCTGCTTGGCTCATCCTGAACTTCATTACGCGACCCATGAAGTTAAAAGATAAAGCCCATAATCCAGGGCTGCATGTCCAGACACGGATCCGGATCTCTCTGTCACAAAGCGCCCACAGCCCACAGAGACTTCAAAATTCGAAGATCTGTTTCCCAAGAACCTCGCTTTGCGGAGCCAGACCTGGGGATCCGAAGCCGAGGATCACAGAGGCATTTTCCTGTGAACTTCGGGGGAAGATTGCCCACCTCCCTCCCTAGAAGCCTGTGCCTCGATATGGGAGTTTCCGAAAATAGGGGACCCCAGTATAGTACCCTGAATAGTAGGATCCATATTATGAGGGTCCCCAAATAAGGTACCACTCTTTTCGGAAACGCCCATATCTTGCACCTCGAGCTGCCATGAATGATGAAGGTGATGGTGAGATGTACATGCGGAATCAGGTGTTGTACTGATGCTTGTGGTCATGAGATGTCATGAGCATGACACTTTATGGGGCCATGCTTCTTGTCATTCTCTTCCGGCATTTGTGCTTTTACCTGTTGCTATGGACCTTTCCTTGGCAAACAACTTCCCAGAATAGCACTGGCAGCAAAACAGTTTTTGATCCTCCCTGACGAATTCCCTGACATGGGTACGACCGTGTTGTGTATTGCTAAGGCTCGGAAATCTCTTGAGCTCTTAGCCTTGGAGACTTGGAGATGGGCGTGTACCCTAAACAGTAACCATTATGTATGTATATGCAGTTTCGTCTCTATTGTGATTTTTTCGATGTCTGAACCATGTCGGGGTTCAAGCAGTCGATGCTGGGCCTCCGACTTGTTTGCCTTGAGTGCCTCGCGAGACGAGGAGAGAGAGAGCGAGAGAGAGAGAGAGAGAGAGAGAGAGAAAGAGAGAAAGAGAGAAAGGACCTTTTCAAGACCGGTGCGCGCTTGCGCGCGGGCGCCGCGGCGCCTTGTCCGAGTGCAAGCAAGAGAGAAAGGACTTCGGGGCGCGCCCGCGCGCGGGGTAGTGCGACTGCGCTGCCCTTGACCGAATGCAAGCAAGAAGCAAAGTAAAGCGAGAGAGAGAGAGAGAGAGAGGAAACCCCCTGCCGTCTTTCAGAATGAACACAGAGAGAGAGGGTGTCGGACTCAAACCTCCTGCAAGCAAGCAAGCAAGAGGGAAAATAGAAGGAAGATAGGAGGACAGCAACACATAAATCATTGCTTCAGGCTGCGTGCATCCGGAATGAAAAGGAGCGGAAGTTGTTGAACGGGCACCTTGGGCGCATTGAGAGGATTCTGCTGGTATATGAAACCTATACCCTGCCACATCAGTGGTGCAAGTGCCAGCAGTGGTGCCAACATGCACGACGAGAGTGACTAAAACCTCTCCCGTCAGCAACCATCCAGTAGTATCGGTCAGATGTGAGGATAGCAGCCCATTGTGGCAATGAAAGGCAATAGCATGGAATCGAGCATCGCAGGTTTAGCCCTGATACTTCAGAAAGCCGGTGACTACTGCTGCTTGAACAACGGCCTACGGTTAGCAATCACAATCAAAATAATACAGCGACCACGATGCTAAATGATATTGCGACGTCAGCAGCATCGCAACTTTCATGACAGGCCGAATTCGCAACACACTCGATGCCATCCTTATCAGTGGAAGTTTGAATGGCCTGAAGCCCAAGCATGCGCCACCTCAAATGCCAAGGACCTACAAGAAAAAGTCTCAGGAAGACTACCTCATGATGCACATGGGGTCGGGGGCCTTCAGTGCAACAGTGCCGGTGGCAGGAGCACCGATGGGTGTAGGGCCTTTGTCTTTGAAGATTTCTTGTCATACTCATGATAATTCTGCCAGTTCTCATCCTGTTCACTGTTCCACCATGTACTCGTTCTCCCCGATCAGCATTAGCCGGAGAAGCCGTGAGAGCTGCAGACTTTGCGACTGTCCTGATAATTCCCTAACCGGCAGTGTAGCCGAAGCCAGGAGGAGAGTGAGCAAGCAGGGTTCTAAACCTAAACAAGGTCGGACTGAAACAGAATCTTGAGGCTTACTTGAGTCTGGAACCCCAGCGCTCACCTGCATCCCCACACTCCGGGTCTCCAGCTCCCCATTCCGATGCGAAAGTGGCTAAGGCTGACCAAAGCACACTTGGCGAAGGCATCTTGAGATGTTGATATGGGTGGGATTTTCCAGGATTGTAGGATCATGCGGGACAAAGCCGCTTTGTTGCATGCCGGCTGATGGCACCCTACCGAAGCTTTCCACTTGAAATTCTCCAGTACTACCCCGTCAGCATGCTGCAGAGAACTTTGCGAGCTTTCCTTAGTGCTATTTCGGGTTCTCAGCTCTTGTTGTTGCAGCCTCCAGCACTGGCATCCGACACAGCAAGCCATGGTTCTGTCGTAGTATCAGACTAGACTCAACCACATGCCCATGACTCCAGCGGGAGAATGCCAGGCAAAAGCAAAAGAAAGGGCGGCGGCAGGACAGTTCCAGAGCACAGCCTGTTCCTGAACCCCCGGCCCAAAATGCACTTCACAGAGGGTTTGCCTCAATGAGTCTTACTTCGAGACTTGATGTGTCGGAAGTCGGGAATTTTGCGGGTTGCTCAGCATGTAGATGCCTCAAGCGGTTTGAAAGTTTCATTGTTGACGGTGACGGTGATGTTGATGAGCAGCATGGCGATCGCCACTGTGAAAGACTAATGATTAGGATTCCCAAGCAAGTCCAGCAGTTGACCTAGCTACAGGGTACAAGCACGACCGGACACATTCTTGCACAGCTGTTTTGGTTGCAACCTTTACAGGCATGCGCTTCGGTGATAGTTCTGTGTGTTCAGCTTTCTACTGCCTTCGGCAGCCTTTGCTGCTACTGCTTCAGGAGATGCAGATGTTTGTTGGGTAGCTGCTCGGAGCTAAAAGAGGCCTTCATCTTTCCCAGCGCCAGTCAGGATCTGCGGAACACTTCAAGAGCACATCCTCGCTGCTGCTTGGCTTTCACATGTCTAGGATGGCATGAGGTCTTCGTTTTGTATGTAGTTGGCCGTGACACTGAACATTTTATTGTAACGCCAAGTTGTGTACCGTGGTGTAGGTGGGTCGTAGAAAAGAGAAGGCTGCTGTGTTGCTTGTCGTTCTTTTTCGGGGATGTAAGTGCTCCTGCAATCATTCCTGAGAATCGTCTCCTACCCCTGCAAACCTGCACTAATTCGACGTGCACCCGGAACGGCTTCTTTTTCAGTGGATCCTTCCTAGCTTTCTTGTGGCCTGCACGGAGTCTTCTCCACTCCAGGATCTTAGTCTCACTCCCCTCGCAAGCGAGCAGTTACCTGGAGAGAAAGCATGTTGCAGAGCAGCGTATCTTCACACGATTGTGCGAAACTGTCTGGTTCATAGTAGGGAATGGGGTAATGGATTATGGGGACTGTTCATATTGGGGATTATATAGGGACTACTATAGGGATCCATTCCCGCATTCCCTGCTAAACACTAGACAGGAAAGCCCTGATGGCGGCTCGGGGACTTGACCGACTTGAACAGCGAAAACACATCACTGGAGAATCCTTTAGCTACCACCTACCCCGGGCATCAAGATAGCCCACAGGCCTTATATAGTATGTTCTTTGGGCCCAAAAGCCTTAATATATGAGTCCTGAGATCCCAAGGGTTAGATATCTTCCAAATCCTTAGCCCGGATCGTACCACACCAGCTAGCAACCCTTCCGAAAATCAGGGGTGCCTTATTTTGGGGTCCTTACCAAAAGGATCCTACTATTTAGGGTAATATGTTAGGGTCCCCTAGTTTCGGAAACTCCCGAGTTCGTGTGATCTGCGCCGTCGCCCCAGGACAGCAGGGAATCTTGCCGCACATCAGAAAGGCACTGGAAAGGACAGGGCGGATATGTTCAGTGAACTGCTGAATGCGCTCGACCCCATACTCTTGCCACTGCCGCTAACCCCCCAAAAAAACAATATGAGAGTTTCCGAAAATTAGGGGTACCTTATTCTGGGGTCCTTATAATAAGGATCCTACGTCCTACTATTCAGGATACCACATTAGGGTCCCCTATTTTCGGAAATTCTAATATCTAAACTGTGAGCTCTTAACGGCTTCACACCTTCAACCTGCACACCAAGCGCCCGCAAACTCGATCGCAACCCTATAGACACCTGTAGTCAGGATGCAAAAGGCTCCTCCGAGGCACCGGACGTTTTTCGGGAATCAGTTTCAAAGGATAAAGGTTTTAGGTTTTTGTGATGGCATTGCAGCCCCTGCTCAAAACGGTTTCTGTGATGCACATTCAAGATTACTGTGAAGGTCAATCGCTTTCGGCTTTGTTTCAGGTCTAGGGCTCAAGGTTCAAAGTCCATGATTGTAAAGGGTCTCGGGTTCGGGTGGATCTTGCAGGGACTGTAGGATTCAATGATGAGGCTGTTGCTTGCAGAAGCCTGGATTGATTAATCCGGGAGTTTCCGCAAATTAGAGCTACCTCATCTTGGGGTCCTTATAGGAAGGATATATAAGGATCCTACTATTTAGGGTACTACAACAGGGTCCCCCTATTTTGGAAACTCCCACCTCGACTTGAACGTTGGTCTGGCGTCTCGGGCTCTCGGCTTCCGGTGCAGCGTCTCGGACGCAGGGTTCGACTTGCAGTTCAGTTCTCATGTTTTCATCCATCTTCGACGAGAATATGGTGTCACGTGATAGACTTCTTTGCAAAATCCTACAGACGCCCTGTGTCAAGTCTTCAGCTCCTCATTCAGAGACTGAGTGCTGCGAATCGGATAACTGTCTCCCAGCGTGACTCAGGTTTTGGACAACCCAACCCTTACTCACCGACAAGATTTTTCAGAACAAGTCCAAGTTCATCCCTCGGAATGCGGCTTTTCTGGCGTCTGAATTTGTAGCCTTGAATGTGTTAGTACATTTTCGGCGTAAGGGGCCTTCCCGTTCGAAATTCCCGTTCGAAATTCCTCTTCAACCGGCAGTGATCGCATTCCCAAGTTCAGAGTTTGCTGCGGGGGCTCCATGCACTAGCATGGCTTTGCTCCACTTGCCGTCTAAAGTCCGGACTCTCCGAACACCCTGCAAGACAAACGAGCAGCTCTTGGAAGAAGCGATCGGAGGATATGTCGAGCAGTTTTGGCACCACTGCAGTCTCGCAAGCTTGAATGCCCGGCCCCGCCTGGATTGCAGGAGGCTGTGATGAATGCCAGTAGTACGTAGCCAGAGCATGTAGGGTGAAGTGCAGGACTTCCCAGAACTCCAGAACTTCTTGCAAACCCCAATCACAAAGCAGAGCGCCCCTGCAGATCTCGCGCAGTCGCTCCACGGGGGCGCTGCAGCAGGCGTGACACAACGAGGGTGTGGGGCCTTGAGGTTTGCCTGCTTGAATTCTCGAGGCAGCTTGGTGTCATAGGCATCTTGGGAAGCGGAGTGCAAGGAGTCTGGGTCGGCTTTTATAAAAAAGCTAGGCGCCTAAGGCGGGTGCAGCCTTTTGGTTGTCGATTCCGATTTTGTGCTGTAGGGGCTCATGACGCCTAGATAGACTGAGCATGGGATAGCGATGTTCGTGTAGCTCCGGTCCTTTCATCACACATGTAAAGCCAACTGCAGGTGATGCCAAAGGTGCCGGAGGACTTTGCCCCTTTGCCGCGTGCCGATGCAGAATTTCCGCCGTCTCACCGCTTCCATAACGGGCCCTGATGTGGAATGTCGCCAAGCAATGCCCTATCCCTCTGGCTCAGTTCGATCGACACAGCCACGTATCTTTGCGAGATGTGTTCATCTGCAGAGCAGGAAACTACTGTGAGCCACCTAGGAGGCCACCTTCCAACAGAATGGCGACATCTTGGCTGTAGTCTCCGGGGTTGTCACGGCGCAGGGCTTATCGAAAGGCTTCAAACCATCAAAGGTGGGATGAAGGCACGCGGATGGGGCGGGATGCCCCTTGATAGTCCTTGCATGAGGGCTGAGGGATCCTCACTCCTGCTGACCTTCATACCTATTTGTGGGGCCTTTCAGACTGATAGCTCCGATGTCCAGGCCCTTGACATAGCTTTGACATAGAAACCCTGAAGCCCCAAACATAAAGTCTCATGTAAGCTTATTGGGGACTAAGCTTCGAGGCAAGCTCCTTGCAATCGTCTGCCGCTTCTCGAGAGGACCCAGTGCTCGCCGTCCTGATGAACGGTCCCCCGCTCTATTCGCCTGCATTGTGCACCCGTGCGCGGAGCTCAGATCCGCTGGTTTCCTTCGAGGGTTTCGGTGTCTCTGATTCCTCTATCAGAGGCAGGCCCAAAGTCTGGTAAATTCACGCCACGTCCCGTACGATGGACACGTGCGAAGATATCTCCAACACTTGCGAACCACGAAGTAGTACAGATATTAATTCTGCTGGTATCTCAACTATTACTATTATTTCTACGATTACTACGATTACTACTATTACTACTATTACTACTATTATTACTAGTATTACATTACACTTCCAAGTCCAGCACTTTCAGCATTGGGCCCAGGGAGTGCTTGCTCATCGTCCCTCCAAGGCGTGCCAAGTGCTGCAGTGATTTCTTTCTTCGAGGACCATTCGAGGTGCCTTCGAGTTCGTGATGCTTCTGTTTTTGTTGTAGAATCTTATAGAACTTCTAAGTGTGCGGCTGCCTGTGCGTGATGAGGGTTGGTGGTCCGAGGGGATGCATGTGAGTAGAGGCAAAGCACAGGTCTCACTTTATCTACGGTGGTCGCTGGCAGGTTCGACCAAGTCTTTGACAAATCTGCTGCTTGAAAGGTTCCCCGTCTGCGCAATCAATGGGGACCCCGCCGTCAGTGTGCAGCAATCTAGCCAGAGTTCAGCTGCGTCTCACCGCTAGAAGTATTTAGTGAAGACACACGGAAAGTGGAATGGGTGTGGGATCTCTGCAGATTACTTGCACTTCGTTGTTTCAGACGACATGTAAGGGTGCTGTGGTCATAGCTGTTTCGCCTCGCAATGCAATCTAGCTATCAAGTGCATTAGTGTAAACATGAATGCCTCGTTTACGACTTCAGCGTGTCCGGGAATAGTCGGAATGCGGGTCGCGAGCCTCTCAGTCTGTCAACATAAGCCGAACTCGCTTGGACGTCATGTGACTTTGCATGTTCCCACTGATTTCCTTGGCCCCACAGCTGCACTTAATCCATGCTGTCGTGATGGGAAAAATTCTTCTTTCGGAGACCTGAATGACCAGACCGTGACGCTTTGCGAGCTTTAGACAGATGCACCAAGTCACGTAGATGATCCTGCCTCGTGCTTTCTTCAAAGCTGTGGTCGATTCGTGGCTGCTAGCGCCAGCGGTCGCACACCGCCTATGATTCTGGCTGCTTCGGAGTTTCCTTGACTGTGCTTTGGGATTCGGAAGACGTTTGGTGCGTGATGTGTCCTTGCAAAGCTCCAGGGTCCCAGATCAGGTCGACTGCAGTTGCTCTCATGGCTGGCAGCCACGCAACCGTTCACAGAACCTTCCTGCGCTGGCGTGTTGAATGACACCTTTTCAGAACGGGGGCGAAGCCATCTTCACGACTGCCACAGGGGTCGAAGTCTAAGGTATAAGGCCATGACAGCGACTCAACAAATCACACGAATAACCCCAAGGAGGAGGCCCAGACTTCTGAGCATCCAGTAGTTCTATCTAGGTATGTGCTTCGGGCCATGTGAATTTGGGCTATCCTTTGAGAAACTGTGTAGTATCACTGCAGGAAGCGATGTTTAGGTACGGAGGCGGACACTTTGCCTCCACGAGAAAAGAATCCTCGGGCCAAGCCTGCAGAACGGTACGATTAGGGTTTAAGCCGAGAAAGGCCGTGCGCTTCTTGGCATCGCCGCCGTGCATTGCGGGCACAGCCAAAGGCTTGACTTGACTTCATCTTTTATTTCAAGAAATTGCATCGCAGCGCGGCGGGCGAGAAAAGAAAGTACCCTTTCCGCGGCCATAGCTGAACTTTCTCGACGGCGCAGGGTCTAAAGGCAGGAACTGGCATTCCCTGACTGATTGTTGTGATTTATATACCCTCATCGGCTGGCGAGCAGTGCATATAAGCCAGCCGGAAACCCGACAACCTTACTGGCTTCTTTGGCCTTGTTGTCGTAATGGATTTCGACAGCCTCCTTTCACATATACAGCCACCGGAAGAAGTGGGAGAGGAAGATAGGGAAAGGCAGCACAAAGTATGTGCTGCCAGCAAGACCAGCCAGCCCCGAAGCCTTTTCCAAGCCATGTCATGCTGTGACAGGTCAGCACTTACAGAATCTCATCCTGAACCCGTCCGCACGGATCAACGGGTTCGGAGGGTGTACGAGAGAGGGGAGCCAGGCTCAGGAACGTCCACAAAGCCATCACCACATGCATGCATGCATGGGCGGATGAAATGCATGAATATCTATTGCGTATACAACTGCCCCATAAACACCATATAATCACCCTAAGCCATGCCCCCTGTAGACCTCCCGGCTCTTGAGGAGATGAAGGCCGCCTGTGGCTTCGGCTACGGTCCCGATGCGTCAGCCTGGGAGCCCAGAATCTCAGAGGCAACATCCCGAAGAGTGAAGCATTCGGCAGGGCATAGAACAATACGGGTTTTTATTCGGTTTTATATGGTTTTTTCAACTAGGTATTTAGGCTTTAGGATTTGAGGCTTGATTGGCGTGGCGCCGGCTTGTAGGTCCGTGGTCAAGAAGGAATTGGTTGGCCTCGTGATATCCCAGCACGAAGGCGGCACATTCTCACAGCCCTCTCACAGGTGCAAAAGTACATGTGTCCATGGGGCTGGGGGCGAACCAACACCCAGAGATCCTCTTGGGTTCTGGCACACAAACACGCAGACAGACAGACACCTCTACTCACAGTACTAGCTTGCTTGCTTACTTTACTACTTAGGGCGCACACTCGGATTCCCGAGAAAGTAGGAGCACCTACCGTAGAGTTGTTTAATCGCCCTCCAATCGGCATGTACGGGAGCGAGGGCCTGTGCGTCACAAAACGCATGCGGAAGGGATCGGCGTGCAGTTTTGACAATCTTTGGTTTCGGTGGGGCATGCAGTTTGCAGAGGTATTTTCGGACATGCAACCATGGCCTTGAAGAAGGAGTTAACACCAGGCGGGGCTTAACAGTCGTGGAGGTGACCCCCCTTCGATTAATTGTTCTGAAGCTTAACTCAGGTCTTGGATGTGGAAGTCATCAAGACGGACTTGGGTGTCAATGGCTCAGATTTGTATTGGCTTGCATGTTTCCAAAGAGCGAAAGAAGCACCAAGCCTTAGCACAGCTTGCATCTCAGCCCTTCATCGTCTCCAAAAGTTACCATAATAAGGGTTCCTTCAAGGGATCTATAAAGGCCCCTTTGAAACCTCTAAGGGTTCTAAAAGGGTTTCGGGGGTAAGGGATTGACTAAGCTGGAGACCTGAGCCCTCGGTCCACACGCAATGACCAGGTCGAGGCCTTTAGCAGCGATGTGAGGTCCAACATATGCCCGGTTCCCAGTGGGCGAAGAGCAATGGTTCTTCTTTGCCGCAGCAAGGAAATCAAATGCCCAGAGGCGCAGACTTTGAGATGACGACATATGCCAAGCCTTCTGGCCTATGTATGCTTCAGCAAGCTCTCCCTTCCCGAGAGTTCCTTTCTTTGCAGTGCTGGGGCAGATACTCGATGTGACTCGATCTGATGCTTCTTGCGATGCAGCGGCAAAAGAAGAATGCCATGATGTCAATTGAGAAGTCGAGCATTATAGGTATCAGCAGGACACACACACACACACACACGCACACGCACATATGCAGCAAAAGCATGCAAACGATAAAGCCTGGCATGATAACACCGCCGAGAGTCCAGCAGCATCTCCAGAACCGCTATTAGCAACATTGGCATTGCTTTCTGGTGCTGCACAAAAGCCTTGTTTTGCCTTGCACAAGCTTTCGTGCTTCCAGACCTGGGTCACAACAAAAACGCAGACAGCAACCGCAAATTGTCGCACGTACATGCATCTAGCACGAAATGAAAAACATGTGAGGTTCAAGAACCGGGTGGAGAGGGCGTGGCTTAGGAAGTGATTCTTCGCCATCGTTCCCCCTGTCGTCGGTTAAGAGTATCCGAACCAATGGGGGTTAACAGTTTGACAGCGCAGTTGCTGCCATCATCGCTATTTTCGTCGTTCTTGCTGATGCAGCTGTTGTTCAAGATCCAGCACTGCTTTTCAAAACCACAGCGCCCGCATCCTTCGACCCTGCCCTGAACCCACCTGAGTGTCAAGGTCAGCAGTCGTTTTGCCGCGGACAAGTGGTTCCTTGTCCCAACTTAAGCTGAGAGCACGAAGGAGTCCTACAGTCTACCTGGTCACCTTGGTGGAGTTAGGGTTCAGGGTTTGGGTTGTTCTTGGTTTGCTGCTCTTCGTTTTAAGGCATGGTACGGGTATGCGAGGGCCCCCCCTTTTTTCCGCTACGTAGATGAAAGTCCAGGGCGTTCGGGAATGCGGCTGGTTTTCTGGCGATAGACCCTTAAATGAACTTCGAATCTTCGAGCCCAGACAGAGAAGGCTCCGGCTCGTCCCAGTCTTGCCCCTAAACCCTAAACCTTGCCACTAAGACGAAGACACTCAGAACGAGAGACCCCATCTGGCGGAGTCCCAGCTGCGAGCACCCCGCAAGCAGCACATATTCCCATGTTCCCACGGGCGGTTCTTCTTATACAATATCATAAAGCCACAGTTCGTAGAATATATATATATATATAATTCTATATATATATATATATATATAAATATAACACAGGATATCCTATATATATATATATATATTATTTTTTATACTTCGAATATAACAGGATATCATATATTATGTAAAAAATACTGGAGACTCAAGAGCCCCGAACCTGTTTCCTCCTACGTCTCGACCTTGCCCAGCGATTTGCAGTGAAGAGCGAAGGCCAGGTTCGCCGACCTTTTCAAGTCCTGTCCGGGCCTAGGCTTTGAGATTTTGATTTTATATCAAATATAGGGGTTTAGGGGTTTAGGGTTTAATATCCTAGTAGTAGAGTAGGTAACCTTTAACCTTTTTTGGGTAGTTTAGTCCCTATATAATCCTTATATAGCCAAAACGGATAACTTGATACCCGACAAGTAGGATATTAGTAGTAGTAATTCTTTCTTTCTGGGTGAGCATGGGTCCAGGGGACGCGCTCCTCGCAATGAATTCGGAAGTGAAACAGGTGAAATGGGGAGTCGGTGCATAAGCTCAATCCAAAGGAGAGCGAATGTACCCTGACTCGACCCGGAAACCGCAAGACAGAAGCCACTCAGGGACCGGGGCAAGGCACTCTGAGGCAAGGGATGAGAGGCGGAAGGCGACAGGATGTGACGTGGATTGCTGCAGGGCAGCGCCAACGGAGTCACAAGCGGCTTCCAGCCAGTCTGCTTGCCGTCTGGCGGCTGCCAACGGCACACTAGCCCTGAAGGGGTGGACAAAGTCTCGAAGCGGTGGGTCACTGATCGTGACTGTGCAGACATGCCCGGTGAGAACGAAACCGATCTTGCCAGGTCCGGCCGTAGGCAAAGGCGGGCATGCCACAGCTGGCATAGGGGGATGTTTCGGAGCCCGGAAGTCATCACACCAGAGTTCGGGGTCGAGAAGCAAACGGACATCCGCTGCGAGAGTGGCAACACAGTCAGGGTCCTGAGAGGGACCTGGGGATTTTTGCCACTCGTCAAGGGTATTGCGCAGGACATCAAGGGGCTCAATGTATTCAACAACTTGACCCCAGACCAGCTCTTGTGTGGGCGAATCTAAACCTCGCAGGTCAGCTAGCAAACCCGGGTGGGCAAAGGCCGGATCGAGCTCGAGTGAGAAGTGGTCCCATTCGCCTTGGGTGCAGACAGGCGGCGCTTCAGGGTGTACAGCAGGGGAAACAGAGGAAGCGGGACGAAAAGCCCCCCATCCACGCCTGCACTTGGCCGATGCCCCGATGTGCCTTTTAAGCCGCCCAATGTTGGCGTAGAGACGCCCACAGGCCTTGCACAGAGGCTGTGCGCAGCCAGCAGCAAGAAGGGTAGAAGGTGCACGATAAGCGTGCAAGCGCGCCGCGTGGCAAGCCCAAGCGGTTCGACTGGGAAAGGCAATACGGCATGGCAGGCACGCCTCTTGATAGCGGAGCGTGGAGTCAGATGGGGGTTGGGCACAACCCGCAAGCTGTTCCAAAGTGCGCCTAACAGCTTGCAATGCAGCGAAACAAGACGTCCTAACTACCTCAAGACCCCTAGCCCGCTTAATGAGAGCCTTGAAGACGTGCGGGCGCTGCTTAAGCAGAAGTTCCCACTCAGGCCAGGTCGACTCGGGGTCACCGAGGGGGGATGTGGCGCACACCCAACGGTAGACCCAGAGTAGGGCTTCGCGGACATGCGCAACATACGGCGGGTCGCGCCGTATGAGGGCCCATAGCGGCGCAGGTGCCGCATTGACAAGCTGCAGTATGTAGCGCGCACGCTCGGTCAGGAGCAACACTTCAGGAGGCGGTTGGCCAATCAGCGCACAAATTGTGGCATGTGAGAGGTGTTGGTCACCCCCATGCGGAATGGCAAGCGTGTGGCGGTAAAGGGCAATGACCGTCCTGAAGAAGAAAGCGTGCTCTCCTTTGCTAAGAGCAGGCCAAGCGCCGGAAGCAAAAAGCAAACGGGTCATGACGTGCGTGGAGAGAAGGAGCCCGCGCCGCTTGAGCGCGATCCGCCCGGAGCGGAAGACTCTGGTGCGTCCCTGCTGGTAGGCCGCCCAAGCTTGCGAGGCCCTGTGACGGAGCTCCGCAATGAGAGAAACAGCTGACGTGATCTTGACCCCTAAGTGGCGGTAGGAGGTAACAAGTGGGAGCTCGGCAGCTCCCTGTTCCTCACGCAAAACCGGTAGCACAGGCTTAGAGCTGAAGAGAGCGCGTCGCGTATTGCGAGCGCCAGGGCCACGCGGAGCAATAATCGCAGCGGTCTTCGTAGGGCCAAAACTAAGCTCATACCCGTGGGCATAATGTTGGATACCGATTAACAAACCCCCCCCCCCCCAAGGTTGGCCCGCTTGAACTTGTTCATGGGTTCAAGTTTTTACCGGCCCCCCCCGCGATTAAGTAGTAGTACAGTAGTACAGTAGTACAGTAGTACAGTAGTACAGTAGTACAGTAGTACAGTAGTACAGTAGTACTCCTCGCATACTGGATGAGGAGGGAAGCCCGCAGATTGGGCAGGAACATTGCCCCTAAGTACAAGCTTAGCTCTGCTGGACATGAGCTGGTCCAATGAGGAAAAGTCTGCCATCATGAGTTCTTTACGGTTTAGGCTTCAGGGTTTGGGGTTTAGGGTTAAGTCATAAGCCTCTAAATCCCCTAAATCCTTATTTCGGGGATTTTCGGGGATGGCCCCGTCTAATCGGGGGGGGTTTAAATGAGCTCCGGTACTATAGGGGTGGGGTCTAATGGACCTCTTCATTAAGCCCATGACATGCCCGGGACCGCCCCGTCTAATCTGGGGGGGTATCTTAATCGGTAAACGACATTAAAAGGCATCGGCAAGGAGCCCACACTCGAAGGCGGCGGCGAAAGCCGCATTGCTCGCCTCAGGAGCGATGATGCACTTTGCAAGGTCGTCAGCCCAGATCACATCACTGAGCCTGGTGGAGACCCGCCACGCAGAGGGATCGGCAGATGGCGGGGAAAAATCGCACAGGCCGTCCCACCATATCTCAGGCGTGTGGTCAATGTGCGGGTGTGACGCTGCTGGGCAAGAGCGCGCGTCGTCCCGCCACCGCAGCATGCGAGGGATGGTAACACCGAAAAACAAGTCAGCAAAGCTCGAGCCAGGACGCGAGCCCTGACGAGTTACGATCGGCTGGTGGTCACCGGCTAGGCACAGCCAGGTGTTGCTGTTCAGTTCGGCCGTGAGAGCTTCGACCCAAGGAGGGGCCTGGGCCTGTGCCATGGCAGAAGGCTGCCGGAGGGCTTCCGCGAGATGATCGCGGTCGGGGCTAGAGAGTGGGCTCCCGACAGGATCTGGAGTCTTACGGGCAGTGAGGGCCCTGACGGCAGAATAATAGGCAGATGCAACGTCGGTGAAGAGAACAATGCTAGTCTTACCGGCACATGCACAGAACCTGGTAAAGGCACGGGTGAGGTGGGAGCCCAAAACGACAGATGTCGCCTTGAGGCCGCCTAGCTGTGCCGGTGCAGCATTGCTCCTGAAGACCTCATAGAGACCAGGGCGGAAAGCTTTGTGAAGGAACTTGGCCAAAGTCGGGAGGAGCATGATGGCGCGGTAGCTGGCGCACTGAGAAGTGTCGCCCTTACCCTTGTAAAGCCGGCTAAGGGTTCCACCTTTGAAGCCTATAGGCTCTTCGCAGGTAAAGCCTATCTTGACGAGGAGAGGCATAAGCAGCCGCACCAGGGCTTGGGGGGAGGCATGGCCAACCTCAGCCGGAAGGCCATCAGGCCCGGCCGCCTTACCTTTTTGCGAGGAGGCAATGACCTGCAGCAGAACGTCAGGCGAGGGCATGTCGCTGAGAAGCGGGGGGCCAACAGGGCCAGCCTCCGCTACAGGTAGAACGGCGAGCTCGTGTGGCGAGGCTTCGAAACCATCCTCCTGGTCTCGGAAATGTTCGCGCCATCGGTGGACGACCTCATCGGGTGTTCGGCAAAGGCTCCCGTCGGCCTTCTGGAGCATGGGTAAGACTTCTGGGCGGAAAGGCTTACGGCGTCGGAGGCCCATCAGACGATGGACTGCCTTACTGGCGTGGGGTGCGTCTCGTTGGACCTCGTCCGCGAGCTCGCTGAAGTATGTGGCCCGGTCTTGCTTGCAGGCTGCCTTGAGTCTGCGTGATGCTTCTCCAAGATGATGGCTCTGCTGGGCCCCCGCTCGATGAGCCTCCCGAGTCCAGGCGGAGTCGAGCATACGCATGAGGATGCGCCCGTCAGCGCCAGCCCATGCCTGGAAGGCGGCAGCGAGGAAATGAAAATTCAGAGCGCATTTGATGCGCGTACAAGATTTCCTTAGCCTGGCGACCTCACTGTGCAGGGCCCAGGTGGAGTCAGAGAGGTAAGGCCTATGCCGTCTGCCTGGCTGAAGAGGGAAAGCAGTAGCTAGGGCATCTTGAAGATAACTCACAAGAGTCGCGGCATGTGCATGCGGACTGGCAGACCATGGAATCTGCGGGGCACGCTGCAAAATGCCTTCGACGGCCTCCCGCCCCTTGGGCGTGAGCATAGCCCGTCCATCGAACCGGCGTTTACTGCGGTGTCCGGGTTTGCCAGAAAGGTTGATGGGAAGGTCGAGCTGACAGCATGTGGCAACATGGTCGATGGAAGTCTGCCCAGCATGCAGGGTGGAATCGGTCCACGTGCTGATGTTCCCACTTTTCCAGGCATCTGGACATGCAATAAAGTCTATTCTCGACATAGCCCCATTCCTTTTCTGCATATATGTGCCGGATGGGCCACTATGGCAAAAGGAAAAGGTACACGGCAACCAAAGCTGTTGCGCAGCAAGGAATGACGCCAGCATAGCGCCTGACTCGTCCTGTTGGTCCGGGTCATGATCGCCAATGGCCGCAGTGGGCACGGAACCAACAGAAGCGTTCATGTCTCCACCGAACAAGATCGGGGATGACTGCGCATGCTTAACACAGAGGCGATGGGTTTCCTTCCACCATTCATCGATGGCACTGACTTCGCATGCACGGTGCGGGGCGTGCGCTGAAACAATCAACAAGCTGAAGCCGTCCTGCTTGAAAAGGAGCAGCAGGCGGCGGGGGTCGCGGTGCGCGACAACACACGCCTCTCTGGTTAGGCGCACACGGCCGGGGCCATGGTTGGAAGAGAAAAGCTGGTGGCCTTCCAAGATCCACACCTCGACACCGAGGGTGCCCCGAGTACCTCCAGAGGCGAAGCGAAGGTAGCCCTGTGAATGCAGGACGCCCTCTTCTGTTCGC